CAGAGTGGCCAAACTAGCCAGTCATAGCATCAGAACTCTAAGCACGTGAGAGAGAGTGGGAACCTCCCAGAACATTGTATTGTGCTACGCCCAACAGAAATAACCCAGGTGGATAACATTTACAATCAGGAGCTCCTCAGTTGCTCATTCCACCACTGAATTTACAATGACTTATGGGTAGAAAAGCAATACTAAGTAATTTACTACACTGCAGCTACACACCATCATTTCTGCAAAATCCTAATGCACAGGTTGGCCATATTCATTGTGGGAGGGGACCACACAAGTGCATGAATAACAAGAGGTAAGGACCACATCTTGGATGCTGGCTACCACACATGGGAAGTGGTATGGTGTATGGAAAGAGCATGGGTTCCACTCCTGATTTGGCTACTTAGCTAATTTGCCTGAGGTTAAGCACAATTAAGCTTGTTTGTGAAAATGAGGATAGCAATTCTCCCTTCCCAGGACTTTTGATAAGGTGAAATGAGGTAATCAATATAAAGCAGCTAACAAGTTTGGGATTCAGTAAATACCATCTGTTTAATTGTATTATTTTAAACTTAGCTTAACACAACTTTTATAAACATACTTGGCAGAGTGAATAAACCATTTACTATAGTTAAGTTAATCCTGAATATTATTTTATCACATTATTGAGGGATACGAAGTTTTACTGAATTGATTGTACATACAGCATTTAGACAACTTGTATCAGTGTAGTTGCTAGGTTCTAGTTGTTTAAAGCTTGTACACACACATACACACATGACTTGCATCTTCTGTTTGGATGTAACTGGAAAGTCATGGTCATTACACTGGCTTCTAGTGGGAATATACGACTGTCATTTATACGGCATATCACAGGATGCAGCAAATCTACATTCATCTAGTTAATAACCTCTATATCTTTTCTCCTCTGACAGATGGAGGTTTACTGTTCTGATTTCCATGCTGAAAGAGCAGCAAGAGAGAAGATTCATGAAGAAAAGGAGCATCTGGCATTGCAGCTGGCAATTTTGCTGAAAGAAAATAATGCTTTTGAAGATGACGACAGGTAAGGTAAAGGAGAGGAAGACTTAGACCACACATCACCTTGGGCTGTAGAGGAGGTGATCTGTCAAAGATGTTTCATAATTTGAGCTGTAAGAATTGCTCAGTATACACCATTTGATCATGTTTCTCACAGTGAGTTTGACTTAGTATAAGCTTTCCAGAGTCTTATGGGAATCTGACTGAGTTCTTGCTTTTAGGTAAGCTGTAAAACCATGACATTATATGTTCTGATGACGCGTCTTGCCATTGTCATGGATAAAATATTTATAACTTTACATTCTCTAATGTGTTTCGAAAAAATTACTTTTGATTTTTAAAAATTCATTTTGAGAACTTTAAAATGACATACACCAATATCTATCCCATCCAGAATTGGTACTTGCTAACAATTGCTTCCAATATTTTATTAAAGGAAAAGAGACAGTTGCAGATAAAGTTGAAGTCTCCTTTGTCTCCTATACCTCATCACATTCCCCACAGCCCTTGCCTAGAGCTTTCCCATCTGTTTTATACTTTTATGTATATATATATCTGACTGTTATCAAGTCTATTCTGACTCATAGTGCCCCCCCCCATTGAGTTTCCAAGGCTATAAATCTTTACAGAAGTAGACTGCACCAGTTTCCTTCTGAGGAGAGGCTGGTGGGTTTGAACCCCTAACCTTCTGGTTAACAGCCAAGTGCCTTACCACACCACCAGAGCTCCTTATGTATACATATATACCTATATAATATCTCAAAACAAGATATATCAATTTCCCTCTGTTTAAGTTACAAAATAATCACTATATAGATTGCTCTGTAATTTGCTTCACAAAACATTGTGATTTTGAACTCTGTTAATAGATGCATATTTAATTCACTGTGTTTAATTGCTATTTGTTGTTGTTATTTGCCATTGAGTTGGACCTGTCTCATAGCGACCCCTCCTTGGGTTTCCGAGGTGGTATCACTATGGAAGTAGACTGCCCAACCTTCCTTCCGAGGAGTGGCTGGTGGGTTGAATTGCCAGCCTTCTGGTTAGCAGTCAAGTGCCTTAGCCACTATGCTACCAGGCTCCAACTGCTATTTAGTGTCTATTTTAGAAATACGCCACTTTTTTCCTAATCTGTTTCCCTGTCAGTTGACAATTTGGTTATTTCCTGATTATTTTATCTTAGTTGTCATTTGCTTTCACTACACAGTGTTCTAATACCAGTAGCATTTAAAACTCAAATTAGTCCCTAGTTCTGATTCTTATGAACTTTGGTATTATAGTTCAACTCTTTTTTTTCTGCCCTTATACTTTAATTGAAAATGTCTGCTTGATGTTGTTCATGTTTTCAAGGTTTCTGCACATCACACGCAGTGTTGCTTTTATTCTCAGCAGGCAGTCTCTGATGGAGATGCAGAGCCGTCATGGGGCCAGAACAAGTGACTCAGACCAGCAGGCTTACCTTGTCCAAAGAGGTGAGTGCCATGGACTTTAGGTTTTCAGGCTTCTAGGAGTCACAATATCCTATGAAGAAGATGCTTAAAGAAAAATATCCACTATATTCTGTACAGTGGATTCCAAATCAATCTTCCAAAAATATAGCACCTATCAGTCTTAATTCCACAGTACCACACTGTCTACCCATTACCTACTGCATAAACACCAGACTCTTCACCCTAGCAATTAAGATGCAGTATAGCCAGCCTTTTAAGATAACTCACTTTAGTCCCCTACACATAGTAGCCAAAGTAAATCATTCACTATGCCTTGGACTTATCGTAAGCTTTTATACTTACATATATTTGCTTATTCTCTACCATTCACCTAGATGCCCTTCCTCACTTCTTCTCTTCCTCCAGTCTCTTTCCAGTGAACTCTTACCCCATCTTCAAAACCCTTTTTGTGTACCAACTCCATGAATCCAAGAGAACATGACCTCTACCTCTTGAATTTCCAAAGTACTTTATTACTCTGTTTTAGTACTTATCTGCTATTTTTAATTCTGATTATTTATGTGTTGAGAATACATTTTTACTCTGTTAAACGATAAACTCCCTGGGAGCTTACCCTTTCACTCACTACTTGTTATGTGCCATCGAGTCATCTTGGACTCATAGTGACCCTACGTGCAACAGAACGAAACACTGCCCGGTCCTGTGAAAGTTTTCCAGTAATATATCAAACAGCATTTCACTGCTATTCATAAGGTTTTCATTGGCCAATTCTTTAAGAAGTGGATGGTCTCTTCCTTCTTCCAAGTCTGTCTTAGTCTGGAAGCTCCATTAAAACCTGTCCACCATGGGTAACACTGCTGCCATATGAAACACTGGTGGCATAGCCTCCAGTCTCACAGCAACCCACAAGCCACCACAGTACAACGAGCTGATAGACAAGTTTGTGTCCCTTAGTTGTTCCAAGCTGCTCTTCTCATTTCCTGGTCTCCCTTGCCCTGCTCGCTTACCCAGCCTGCCGCTGGGGCTTAAACACACAACCTCTGCTGCTCAGGCTGGCTTACCATGTTCTGCCTCCATGCACACAAACACCTGCCTTCCACTGTTCCTGGGGTTGGCTCACCACGGCCTGCCTCCATACACACAAACACCTGCCTTCCACTGCTCGTGGGGGCTGGCACACCCACTACAGGCACATAATAATGTTACCATTTGAGAGTTCACTATGTCCAGGCACTGTGCTAATCACTGTATACATATTTTCACATTAATCCTCAGAAAACTTCTATGAGGATAACAATTCTATATTATTATCACCATGATACAGAGGATGAGATTGAAACTTGGCAAGGTTAAATAATTTGCCCAGGATCACAAAGTTAATTAGTGGCAGAACTGGAAATGAAACCCAAGGTTATCTGATTCTTAACCACTACATAGAAATATGTGCTGTGATCACATAGCACATATTAAAAGAATGATGCTGGATTTACTACATTGTTTTCTTACAAAAAAATCAAAAACCAAACTCACTGCCATCGAGTTAGATCCAACTCATAGCGACCCCTCCTTGGGTTTCCAAGGCAGTATCACTAGGGACATAGATTGTCCCATTTTCCTTCTGGGACTGTGGGTTTGAACTGCTAGCCTTCTGGTTAGCAGTCAAATGCCTCAGGCATTACGCCACCAGAGCTCCTGTTTTCTTACAGTAGTAGAAATATTCTGTAGTCTAAAATAGGTGACTGTCTTATAGCATATTTCTAAAAGAAGCTCTTATCCTTGTTTCTAGGTATAAAAAAATAAAATTCAAACAATCAAGATAGACATAGCTAACAGAAAGGTTAGTGACAATGCCACTGAAAAAGAATAGTCTGAGTTTAAGATGCTGTTTTGGTTACTTCATACTGCTCTAACAGAAATTACAACAAATGGGTAGCTTTAACAAATGGAGTATATTCTCACAGTTTTAGAGGCTAGAAGTTCGAGTTCAAAGTGCCAGTCTCTAGGAGCTGGATGAAAGCCCTTCGACCTTGGGCTTCAGCTCTGACTCTTGCTCCCGCCCCATGGAAGCTGAAGGCTTTCTTCACTCAGGCTATTGAGGCTGACAAATCCAAGGTCAACAAGTAAAAAGGCACAGTCCTGATATTACCAAACTACATGGCAGGCCACTGATTCAAGTCCATTAAGAGTCCCAAGATTGGCAGACAACATGGCAGGCTGCTGAATAACAGCCTGGGGCTGTTAACAGCCTGGGCCTGGACCTGCAGCGTCCAAGCATGCCAAAAGCTACAGACCTTCCTCAAAGCTGCTACTTATATAATGGAAGCAGACCATATCCCCAAAGCAGCTACTCAGTTGCTCCAATAGATTCCACCATTGAGTTGATTACCAGTCCCACCATGGGAAATAATGACATCCAGCTCCCACCCACTCAACCAGGCCCAGCCAAGTTGACATATAACCTTAACTACCACAGGTGCCATCCTAAAGAAACTGTTCTTTAACTTTTTTAAAAAACAGTCTAAGTCACTTCCACATACCAACTGACTATTGAAATGGAACTACAATCACAATGTTGTCATCATGCGAGGGAACAATGTTAGAATCTATAGTAAGCTATTAAATCTTGAGAAGGTTTCTGATTATTCCTTTTGCTCCCTGCCTCCCCAAGTTATTTTACAGGAAAAAGTAGGTTAACGTAAGTAGAGGTAGTCAAACTGAAAACCAAACTGAATGCCATTGTGTTGATTCCCAACTAATAGCCACCCTCTTGTGTTACCAAGGCAGTAAATCTTTATGGAAGCAGATCACCTCATCTTTCTTCTGCAGAGCAGCTGGTTGGTTGGAACTCTCTGATCTTTTTATTAGCAGCCAAATGCCTTAACCACTACACCACCAAAAACAAACCAAACTCAGTGCCATCAAATTGATTCTGACTTATAGTGAGCCCCATTGGGTTTCCAAGTCTGTAAATCTTTACAGAAGTAGATTGCCCCATCTTCCTTCTGCAGAGTGGCTGGTGAGTTTGAACCACTGACCTTCTGGTTAGCAGCCAAATGCCTTATCCACTGTGTCACCCAAGCTCCTTAAATACAGGTAGTAAGTAGTTCAGGTTAAAAATAAGCATAGTATTCATGCTGCAGAAGGGGAAGAGGTAGCACATAGACTGACAAATATTATCCATAAGTATTTCTTAGCATCAACAGGGAAAGGTGTGTTCCTGTGACAGTTGCATCTACCCACTTAAACACTGCCAGGCATTTCTCTAACCAGATTTTAAATATCCTAGGAATACTCATCTACCTTATGTTTACAAGTGTCCTACAAGATTGTCTTCGGTCAAACAGGGCAATGTCTTGCACCTGAATTTCTTAAAGGAAGATTTTTCATCTTCTTAACTATATGAGGGAAATGCCTATTTATATAAAAAAGAACTTGTCAAACAGTCTTTGATTTATATTCATAATCTAAAAATCTCCCCGAAGTGTCTATTCTAAATTATCCTAAAAAGGTTTTTTTGCACTATAAAAAAATAATATTCCAAACATAGACTCCTTGAGATTTTTTAATTTCTTAACAAAACTGCTTTCAACAATAGTCCCTTTCAATATATTTCATCATCATTGCCATCGGCAGGCAGTTGAGTGTCTACTCTCTTCTAGGACATTTTGCCAGGCACTCGAGCAACAAAAAGGCATAAGGCATGGCTAGGAACTCTGGTAGCATAGTGCCTAAGGCACTTGACTGCTCACCAGAAGGCTGGCGGTTCAAACCCACCAGCCACTCCTTGGAAGGAAGGTTGGGCAATCCTACTTCCGTAGTGATACTGCCTCGGAAACCCAAGGAGGGGTCGCTATGAGTCGGGGCCGACTCGACGGCAAACAACAACAACAACAACAACAGAGCAACAAAAAGGCATAAGGCATGGCTAGGTCCTTAAGGATCTGTGGCCTAGTTGGAGACACAGGATGTGTACATAAAAAGATGAATTTCTAGTACAAGATAACATGTAAGTAACAGAAATAATAGCTAGAAGATCAGAGGAAAGGTGATCATTGAGGACCAGGGAAGTTGAGAAAGGCTTTGATAAAATGTGGCATTCGGCTTGACCTTGAAGCAAGAATTTAAATAAGTATGGTGAGAGAATAGAAGGTGAAAAACAGAAATGAGAATGATATATTAAATAATGGAAAATGACTAAGCTTGTTTTAGAGTGAAGAGTCAAGAGACAAAAGAGACCTGTTAGCAGATGGTACAACAGCCCAAATCTGAGGTTTGCTTAACCAGCACAAAAAAGAAAAGCACAGATAGATGCAATAAAGTTTAAAATGAAGAATCAACAGTCCCTGACAGAGTCTGGTTGCCATCTAGAGCAGGGATTGACAGACTACAACCCACAGGGCCAATCTACTTGTTTTTATAAATAAATTTTTATTGGAATACAGTCCTTCCTATTTATTTATATATTGCCTGTGGATTCTTTAGGGAGCTCTGGTGGTGCAGTGATTAAAACATTTAGCTGCTACCCAAAAGGTCAGCAGTTTGAACCTATCCACTGCTCTGCAAGAGAAACATGAGGTAGTCTCCTTCTGTAAAGATTTTACAGCCTTTGAAACCCTATGATGCAGTTCTACTCTGTCCTATACGGTCACTATGAGTCAGAATTAACTCAATGGCAGTAGGTTTTGGTGGGCTATAGCTTCTTTCATGCTACAGTGGCAGAGATGAGTAGTTGTGATGGAAATTGTGCGGCCTGCCAAGTCTTAAATATTTACTCTCTAGTTTGGTTTTTTATTCTGGAGTCTTTTTACAGAAAGAGTTTGTTGACCCCAAATCTAGAGCAATGAGGCAATTACAAAGTTCCCTAGTTCAGAAATCATGCCTTATGATAAGTATTTCTATTCAAAAATGCTTCTAATATTTGCCTAATACATACTATCTGTAATAGCATTACATGTTATTAAATTCATATAATATTCCTAGAAACCAATAACCATGTTAAAGGTTATCTCTGCTATCATCCTCCAACAACAGACATTTGAGGGCTGAATCAAAGTCTAGGGACCTGAGACTTTTCTGAGATTTTAAAAAAACAAAATGGTTTGCACTGGTCCAGAATGATCAAATCAAGAGATGCCCTAGGAGACAGGAATAATTTCCAGCATTGACCAAGTCAAAGCTATTTCAAGCATGACTCCAAAATTGGGGGAAATTACAGGACTTATTATTCAATTCATGAAGCCCTGGTGGCACAATGGTTAAGCGCTTGACTGCTTAACCAAAGTTCGGCAGTTCCAACCTACCAGGTTCTACCAGGAGAAAGATGAAGCAGTCTGCTTCCATAAAGATCACAGCATTGGAAACTCTATGGGGCAGTTCTGCACTGATGATGGGGTTGTTATGAGTCGGAATCGACTTAGTGGCACCAATACACACACACATTCTTTAATTATTTTCCCTCGCGTACTTTGTGGATAACTCCTTTTCATTCTTAAGATTCCTCTCAAGTGTAATCATTCTTATCTTGGAAGCCTTTCTTAACTGAGTAGTCTGAATTGGGTGCCTTTCTCTTTATACTGCTGAACCCCCTTATGCAGAACACAGTCATAGTGTTTACCACACTACACTGTCATTGTCAGTATCTTGCCTGATATCCCTACCACATCTTTATCTCTGTGCTCTGCACATATCACAGTTTCTTGCACATCCTGTCGTTGTTGTTACGTGCCGTTGAGTCAGACCTGACTCATAACAACCCCTCCTTGGGTTTCCGAGGCAGTATCACTATGGAAGTAGATTGCCCCATCTTCCTTCCAAGGAGTGGCTGGTGGGTTTGAACCGCCACCCTTCTGGTTAGCAGTCAAGTGCCTTAGGCACTATGCTACCAGAGCTCCTTTGCACATCCTAGAATACTCAAAAGTATCTGCTGAATAGTAAGTATGGTCTATGCTTCTGAGAAGTTACATGCCATTGAGTCAATTCTGACTCACAGCAACCTCCATAGGGTTTCCAAGGCTGTAAATCTTTCCAGAAATAGATTATCTCATTTTCCTCTCACAGAGCAGCTGGTGGGTTTGAACCTCTGACCTTCTGGTTAGCAGCCAAATGCCTTATGCACTATTCCACCAGAGCTCCTCGTATGCATCCAAGAAGTTACAGACTGTTCTAAGATGCCTCTCTCGTGCTCTCTTCATTTTTTCCTCATTCTTTCCTTCCCTTTTTGCTTATATTCTCATCCATCTCTTTTGTTCTCTCAAACATTCTAGTTTTTACTAAAATATGTATTGTCTCATACCTAGAACTGAAACCATGTATTTTCACAGGATGGAGTTGAAATCCTAAGAGAATAAAGAAGCCAGGTACCATTTCTGGATATTTTCTCTGTGTATATAGTGATTGCTTCAGTTCAAGGGAAAAGTTCAGTATTCACTTCCCACTAGGCATTGATTACAGAGTTTAACTTATGTTAAAATTAACCCATCTGTTATTAAAACAGAACAAAACAAACTCTTTACAATATGAAACTAATTGGAATGACATTTCATTTAATCCTTATTCCCAGGAGCTGAGGATAGAAACTGGCGGCAACAGCAACAAAGGAATATTCCGATCCATTCTTGCCCCAAATGTGGAGAAGTTCTGCCCGACATAGATACGTTGCAGATTCATGTTATGGACTGCATCATTTAAGTGTTGGTGTTTCACCTCCCAAAAATTGTTGGTAAATGTCAGATTTTTTTCCTCCAGGACTTGTACTGTTGTATTATTTGCTTTCACGCAAACACTTTGTCACATGATGTTGGTTTTAGGAGAAAGAAAATGTACATGTTCTAGGAGGACTTTTTTTGTGGATTTCCTTAAGCTTGCAAAATAGAATCCTAGGCATACTACTCTTCTTATAATAAGTTCAGGTATTTTTATGTTCAGTTTATGTAGACACAGCACGTAGACATCATGTGACAGTTAATGTAAGTAGATGAAAGAAACCTCACTGATAAATTTTAAAAACTGTTAAGGAAGCAAGAAGAATGAAGTGGTCAGATATAATCAAGAAAAATGTCTCTCGGTTATTTTTTTAATAAATTAGAATGTTATTTTTCTTCATCCATTTAAAATTAATCTATGGGGTTGTGTGTATATCTCTGTGTGTTATAGTTTTATTGCAGCCACAGTAATTGTACCAAAGTTAGGATATGGGTCTTTTCATATAAGCACTGTGAACTTTTACTTGATATCAGGACAAGTGAAAAAATACTGGTGTACATGAAGTAGATACCATTAGGTTTTCTTGATTTCATATAACCATCCATAGTGTAAAGACGTTACCTTTGTTCTTTCATTGTGGTGCAGATACATGGGCTTGTACAGTAGATAGTTTATTAGCTTGTAAAAAGAACAACTGTCTATTAATTCTGCTGTTGGATCAGGTTACATCTTCATGATCACAAAAAAATAGTTACTGCAAAATAAAATTTTGCTTATGAATCTTTTATATTCTTCATATATAATATGACTAATTTCATTTTCTGTCTTAAGCTTATTCAACTTAATCATAAGATCTGTTTGGTTAATTCTATCAGAAAATCCCTTTTCTAGAGACCTGTGAATGTTATTTGCATTCTAAGATGTCCTTGCTAAGGAAGCAAATTGATAGGTATTGCTGTTTTTGTAAACCTACAGCCAATGTTGAACAGTCATAAAAATAATGTCCCTATGCATCTAGGTTCTGAAAAACATTTAAGAGCAGATTAAAAGATCTCCTTTGGGTATTTCATAAGAATCTCTCATAGGCAAGCTTGATAATATGTATATTTAAATAGGAATCAAAGTAACTAATGACATCTTTACACCAAGAGAACACACTGTACAAATCCAACCATGATTAGATTAAAAGATCTCTGCATCCCCCTGCTCTGCCTCAGGGAGAATGTTTGTTAAAGATATTTCTACAATAACTATGGAAATTTTGCTCATAATTTGTTGCTTATGGTTTCTAGTTTAAATTGTTTCCTTCCCATTTTGTACTGGAGAAAATAGATTTCTACAGTATCCTATACAGAGAAGCAAACCAAATGCTCTCACATCTAAATTACTGAGGATGTCTTTTTACTTTGTTCAAGTAAAAATATTAAGCAGATCCAAACTCTGAAATAATAGCATGAATGGCCATATTAAGTCTGTGATCAAACTGTTTGCTTGTTTATTAGTTGTTGTTGTTGTTGTTAGGTGCTGTTGAGTCAGACCCGACTCATAGCAACCCCTTCTTGGGTTCCTGAGGCAGTATCACTATGGAAGTAGATTGCCCCATCTTCATTCTGAGGAGTGGCTGGTGGGTTTGAACCTCCAGCCTTCTGGTTAGCAGTCAAGTGCCATAGGTACTATGCTACCAGAGCTCAAGGACTGAAAATGAAGGAAGGCAAGTTCACATGTTGTTGTTGTTGTCAGATACTGTCAAGAGGGATCCGACTCACTGTGACCCTGTGAACAACAGAACAAAACACTGCCTGATCCTGCACCAATCTCAAAGTTGTTGCTATGCTTGAGCCTATTATTGTAGCTGCTGGGTCAGTCCATCTTACTGAAAGTGTTCCTCTTTTTAGCTGACCCTCTACCAAGCATGATATTCTTCTCCAGGGACTCATCCCTTCTGATAACATGACTGTTCTGGTTACCTAGTACCACTCTGACAGGAATATACCATGAATGGGATGGCTTGAACAAACAGGAGTTTATTCTCTTATAGTTTGGGAGGCTAGAAGTCCGAGTTTAAAGTGCCAGGCTCCAGGGGCTGGGTGAAAGCTCCTCAACCCTGGGGTTCAGCTCTGCCTCCTGCTCCCAGCCCACTGGAGCTAGAGGCTTTTCTTCACTCAGACAGCTGCTAGCTGCTGAGACTGACAAGCCCAAGGTTGACAAAAAGGCACAGTCCTGATGTTACCAAACCACATGGCAGGCCATTAACTCATGTCCATTGAAAGTTCCAAGGTTAGCAGAGCAGTGGCAGGCTGCTGAACAACACGGCTACATGCAGGGTTCAAACATGCCATAAGCTAGAGACTATCCCCAAGGCATCTCCTTATATACAGGAAGCAGACCACAGTCCTAAGGCAGCTACTCAGCTGCTCACAGTAGATTCCACCATGGAGTTGATTACCAGTCTCATCATGGGGAATACTACATCCAGCTGCCCAGCTACTCAACCAGGCCCAGCCAAGTTGACACACAAACTGAACTACCACAATGACAAGGGTCACATGGTTGGTTTAAATTAAAGCTGTTGTGTTGAGAGAATTAAATAGCAGGGTAATCATGTTGAAAACTCTATGCATCTATCATCTAATTAGTTTAGTCTGATAATCACTTAAAAAGGCTTTGTTCCATGTTCCCAATTAACTATACCTCATAGTAATCTTGGCCCTTCTTCCAGGGTCTGCCACCTGTACTCTTGAAGTCTGAGTGGGGAACAATAGAAAGCTGGGAACAGGGAACATGAATGAGACAAAGAAAATGTCATAGTTAAATAATTTTATAATAATTAGTTTTCAGATGTTATGTTTCAAAATAACTTTGAATCATAAGATTATTTAACATGAACACACCTATAACACTTTGTGTGCATTAAAAACTGAAGATTGGTGTGAAGATTGGCTAGCACTTCCACTTGGCCCATAATGAAAGGGCTAACATGGGATTGCTTTTAATGAAACATTAAATTTATGATGCCATCATTTATCAGTTGGGAAAAGCTGGTGTGACAGATAGTTGCAGTTTTCAAGGTGCCAGGAATCAAGTAGATCAAACAATATTCAGATGTTTTAGTGGAACAATGAAAAGTACCCAGTCTGCTTTGCTATGAAAAGCAGATGCAAACTGTAAATTAGTTTCAGCATCCTCCTTGGCTTCATTTCACTTTCATAGTTTGTCATTTTTTAAATTACTGAAATATCATTATATAGTCTTGCTGTGAAAAAGTCGTCACTGAGTAATTTAAGTTATTTTTTCTGGCTAAGTAATTGCAAACATGTGAAGTGTAATACAAGCAGTATTGATTCAGGAACTTTCAGTGAGCTGATAGATATATGTAGCAATTTTGTCCTTTAAATATATGGAGCTATAAAGGAGGAGCATTTCACATATATGAAGTATGTATTACAGTTATTGACCCAGCAAAACCAATGATGAAATATGTTGAACATTCTTATGAATTAATTAAAATCACCAAGGCTAGAGTCTTTTATTGGATTCCGTTTGCAAAACTTCAGTTGAGGTAAATAGATGGAAGAATGTACTTTGTTGTTTAAAGTAACCTCTGGGTTGGCTGAAGAGCAGAAGGCAGTTAGTTGGGCAGCATAGGTAATGATACGAAAATTATGACTGTTTCCTCTTTTTCAAAGGGGCCATTTCACCTGTAAGTTGAGGGTTATCTCTGAGTAAAACTAACATTTTTCTCAGGACAGGATCTTTGTTCATTCATTTGGGCAAATTCAAGTCTGGGGATAAGAGTCTAAAGAATTCTGCACCATTGAGTAAAGAAGATGTGAAGGCAGATGTAAACAAGGAGATGAGGGGCAGGGACATGGAAACCCCAAGATGATTCCCAGTAGAAAGTTTGATTCTGAATAGCATTGCCTCCTGCTGGGCCTCAGGATGAAAGAATCAGTTTAGTCATCTGATACATACCCAAAGATATACTGCTTCTATATTCTCTACTTTAGAGAAGTCAGCTACATTCATTAAGCGAACACTCCAGACCTACATTTGAAGCCCTGATGTGTCCCCTGACTTCTGTCACAAATATAACAGCACCTGTTAAAATCTCTTCCTTTTATGTCTTCTATTGCAGCATGTCAGATTGAACTCATTATCTTTCCCCTCCAAAGCAAGCTCCTCTGTTCTCCTGACGTCTAGCCTATGTCAGTAATTCTTCCAGTCTTCCAGGTATTATAAACGTTGCCATCACCCTCCCCTTTTCCTACAGCCAGTCAGTTACCAGAGCAGATAGGTTTGCCATCATACTTTGTTCCTCTCAACTCTCTTAGTCTGGAATAATCCCCCATTTTCCTCCATACTCAGTTCTTGAGACTCCTTTTTTAGCTTAATCTTCCTAAACATTGCCTTACAAAGAAGTAAGAATACTAGTTGATATACACTTACTGCTTACATATGCCATGGACACTATGCATATTTTCATGTTTTTCTCATTCAGTCTTCACAATGCCCTATGAAGTAACTACTGTTATCTCTGTTTTGCAGATAAGGAAGTTGAGGCTTGGAGGAGTTAAGTAATTTACCCAAGGCTGCACAGTTACTATGTGGCAGTTAAAACCAAAACAGTCTTAAGGTCCTTGGGTGCAAATGGTTTGTGGTTAGCTGGTAATCAAAAGGTTGGTAGTTCAAACCCCCCCAGCAGCACCACAGGAAAAAAACAGGCCTTGTCATCAGCTTCCAAAAAGATTACATCCAAGAAAACCATATGCAGTAGTTCTACTTTGTAACACATGGAGTCTCCTATGTCACAAATCAATGACAAACAATATATACAGTCTTAATCCAGAGTCTGAGCCCTTAATCACACTTTGCCTCTACAAATCGGCCTTCCTCCCCTACCTGCTCAAACAGTCTCTACTGCTTACAAAAAAAAAAAAAAATCTTAATCCTGGTGTTCTTCATCCTCCACTCAATTAGTCTCTACT